CCAATCTGTCGAACCCCTGTACCCCTAAACTCCCAAAGGGATGTGCAATGTCTTGTCCTACAGCGTACTGGGCTACGATCCTATTGCAGCTGCGTGTGTTGACTGAGTGATTTGCCTAGGTGCGGTGTTTCACAAAGCAGCGGTGTAGCTTGAAGTGTGTGCTGGAGCCGTTCCACTTATTAACCGTTATGACGGCTGGGTTCGACATTCGACATTGCCTGATGTTTCTGTTCTTGGGGGCAGCAACCCAGAAGTGTAAGCCATTGTGAAACAGTTGAGCACTGTCTCATCACATGATGTGGTGTGGCAATGACTGAGGTGGTGTTGGGGTGGTTTAGGGTCTTTTAATGGTTCGGGTGGCATGTCACCTGCGATCTCAGTCATCGTGGATGCGAGCTTGGACCCTAAACCGAAGCAAGCCCGTGCTTCGGCAAGAGGCTTTAGGGATGTGTGGCTTTTCGAGGTTCACTTGTTCTCCAAGCTTTCAGATTCGGCCACCGAAGGACGCAAGGGCTAGGTGTCTTGGGGTTTGGTAGGTGTAGGTCCGTGCGAGCTTACGGCCCAGCACTTTGGGTTCAGGGATTGAATCTCACCCCTTGACTTCGAAGGTCACCATCCTCACAGATCCTAGCAAGAGCGCCCTGCCATCGCAGAAGGCCCAGCAACCGCAGCTTTTCGGAGCGATCTCATGCAGAGGGCTTAGGGTGTAGGCGGCCTTGGCAAAAAGGCGCAGATGGGGGTTTCCGAAAATAGGGGACCCTAATATAGCATTCTAAATAGTAGGATCCTTATTATAAGGAAATTTCCAGTGCATAATCGGTGTGCAGCAAGCCTTAAGACCGCGTGCCAGTACCCTTAAACCTAATTCCAAAACTCTAAACCCGGCACCCTAAGCCCTACCTTAACACCAAATAACCTACCTTTTTAAGGACTTTACATAAAGAAATCATCATAAGGAGCCCTAAAAAAGGTAGGTTCTTTAGGGTTCAGGTGGACTGATAGCAAGGGTTCAGGTAGACCTTAGACTGAGCACATGGATTGTCGGTTTCGGGGCTTCTTCCTCAGCTGCAAGCTTGAGTCGAGGAGTTGGTCCTGGTGAGCGCCTGTTTAGGGTTTAGGGTTCAGGGTTCAGGATTTAGGGTTTAGGGTTCAGGGTTTAGGGTTTGGGGTTCAGGGTTTAGGGTTTAGGGTTTGTAGGCTTTGGGTTTGAGGTTGCCGGGCTCGGGGTTGGGCTGAAAGGCGTAGAGTTGAGAGTTTCAAGATTTGAGAACTAGTGGACCCGACACTTTTAGACACTTGGTCTTTTTCGAGGAAGTTCTGCGGAAGAAGTCCGATTGTAAACCCACGCCTGCGCCTCTCAATCGTAAAGGCTTGCTCGGTTCCTATCTTGGTTTTGGCTGGACGGGATGCGCTTTGTGGATCAGCACCCGGGCACCCAACTTGGCGTAAGATTCTTGACCTTCGCCTTAGAGTCTTCCGTGGAGAGCACCTTCCCTTGACCGTGCCTTCAAAGCAACCCTCAAAGGAACCCTTCAAGGAACCCAAACCCTTGAAGAAGCCCTTAAAGGAACCCTGCTAAAAGAACCCTCTAAGGAACCCTCAAAGGAGCCCTTACAGGAACCCTTCAATAGGACCCCTCAAAGGAACCCTAAACCCTAAACCCTAAACCCTGAACCCTGAACCCTGAACCCTAAACCCTGAACCCTAAACCCCAAACCCTCAGCCCTAAACCCTAAACCCTAACGGATCCCTCAAAGGAACCCTTTTAACGGATCCCGTAAAGGATCCCTTAAAGGAACCCTTTTAAAGGATCCCTTAAAGGAACCCTTTTAAAGGATCCCTTGAAGGAACCCTTTTGAAGGATCCCTTAAAGGAGCCCTTTCAAAGGATCCCTTTAAAGGAACCCTTTCAAAGGATCCCTTAAAGGAAGCCTTTTAAAGGATCCCTTGAAGGAACCCTTTTCAAGGATCCCTTAAAGGAACCCTTTTAAAGGATCCCTTAAAGGAGCCCTTAAAGGAGCCCTTAAAGGAACCCTTAAAGGAGCCCTGAACCCTTGGCGCAGTCCCTGGAGAGCTTCGAGCAGAGCCTCGCGGTGCTGCTCTCCAGCGCGCTGAGCATGCGGAGCCACGGCTTGGGGCTTTAGGGTTTGGGGTTCAGGGTTTAGGGTTTAGGGTTTAGGGTTTAGGGTTTAGGGTTTAGGGTTTAGGGTTGCGGAGCCACGGCTTGGGGGGCTCTCAGGTTCCTAGGGTTCTTAAAGGGTTTAGGGTTCTTAGAGGGTTTAGGGTTTAGGGTCCCAGGGTTCTTAGAGGGTTTAGGGGGTTTAGGGGGTTTAGGGTTCTTAAAGGGTTTAGGGTCCTAGGGTTCTTAGAGGGTTTAAGGTTTAGGGTTCCCAGGGTTCTTAGAGGGTTTTTAGGGGGTTTAGGGTTCTTGAAGGAGTTAAGGGGGTTGAGGCTCCTAGGGTTCTTAGAGGGTTCTAGTGTTCTTGGAGGGTTTAGGAGGTCCCTAGGGTTCTTAAAGGGTTTAGGGGTTTCTGAGGTTTGTAGGGTTCTTAGAGGGTTTAGGTTCCTAGGGTTCTTAGAGGGTTTAGGATTGAGGTTCCTAGAGATTCTTCGGGGGTTTAGGGTTCTTAGAGGGTTCAGGGGGTTTAGGGTTCTTAGAGGTAGGGGGTTTAGGGTTCTTAAAGGGTTTAGAGGGTTCTGAGGTTCTAGGGTTCTTAGAGGGCTTAGGGGGTAGAGGTTGCATGGGCGCTGGCCGGCACCTCAGTCCGTGCTGAAAAAGGGTTCTGGGGGTTTAAGGTTTAGGCATGTTTAGGCGGGTTTAGGGTTTAGGGTCTAGGGTTCTGGGGGTTTAGCCACGGCTTGGGGTTCTGGGTTCTTGAAGGGCATCTTCTAAGAGTATCGAGAGCACTGTTAGGGGTGCCATTCAGGGTTCCTGGGTTCAGAGCTTAGGGTTCAGTTCAGGGTTCAGGTTTCAATCGGCTTCAGCGCGGGTTTAAAAAAGGGTTTAGGGCTTAGTGCACAGGGCGTAGGGTTTAAGGTTTAAGCTTCTGGGTTTTCTTTATTTTAGCTCCAGGGTGTAGGGGTTGCGGTCCTTATCTCCTCTCACAGCCTGCAGCTCCATCGGAGTAACCCATCGCTGTCTGAACCGCCTTGATACCGGAGGAACGTCATGCTTTGCCGTGGTGCGCTTGCGATGCTCTGCCACGCTGCTTGGGCACTACCGGCCCCAGCAGCTTGGCTTTCATCAGGGCAGGTCTGGGAGATCTGCAGCCTAGGAGTTCAATCTGTTACTCCACGGGGTTTTCCACAACGGCTCTGTCATGACTGCAGCAGTGGATCTTGGTTCTGTAGGGTCTTGACTTCACCTGATAACCGGCGTCCTTTTCCGTTTCGGTTCATGTTTGAGTCTGTGGGTGGCACACTCTCTCAAAGGACCCCGGCTAGCCCCAATTCACAGAGCCCCACATCCTAAACCCTTAAACATTTAAGCTCTGAGCCCTAAACTCTTAAACCCTGAACCCTAAACCCTAAACTCCACAAATGGCACCGAAATTAGGATCTGTAGGGGCCCCCTCAGGATGCTTAGCTGACAAGCTCCTGGCTCCAAAGCTCCCAGCACCCCAAGCCTACACACTCTGGGTATGTATTGTATGTATGTATATACGTATATACTTATATACGTATATACGTATATACGTATATACGTATCTATGTCTATGTCTATGTCTATGTCTATGTCTATGTCTATGTCTATGTCTCTGTCTCTGTCTGTGTCTGTGTCTGTGTCTGTGTCTATGCCTAATGTCTATGTCTATGTCTATGTATATGTATGTATGTGTATGTATGTGTATGTGTGTATGTATATACGGCATGCCCTGGAGGGCTCACCACTTAACGACCTGAGTTATGTTCTTTTCTTTATCTGGTGATTGGGGATTTCGGGTTCGTGAGGTCGTTATTTATTGACTGGCAATGTACATGTAGCAAGCTCGGGACGTCTCCTTGCCATGCCAGCCTTGCGCGAGTGTGTGTGTGTGTGTGTGTCGAAACCCAAATCCCTAGACCTTCGAGGTACAAAGCTGCAGATTTGTCATTGTAGGTTGGAGGCCAGTTTCAAACCCGTTCTGCTTCGCCGATTGCCATTCTGTGTGAATAGCGAGCAGAAGGGGAATGTATGGATTGGATCCTAAGCCCTAGAGTTACAGCTTAAACCAAAACATGAGGCTGCCACCTCACTACCACTCTTCCACGACGCGCTTTTGGCCTTCGCGATGCAGAGTTACGAGGAGGTCTCCGTTCTTCGGGTTCGGGGTATCAAGATCGGCTCCTGGGCTGAGGGTCTCGGCATCTAATCGGGGCATCTCTTGAGGAATGTGACGTAAGTCACCATACTAGCGGATACGTAGAGTAGTCGCGATGCTTCCCCGAAGATCCTAGCTTAAAGTAAGTCGTCCTTTCTTGAGACGAGCCCAGTGAGAGGTGAGCAAGGCTTCAGAGATCCTGGCCCTTGCCACATGACATCCTGAAGGGGAGGTTCTCTAGGTTCTGGGACTCCATGAACTACGTCGGCCTTGATCATTCCCAGGTTTAGGATTTAGGGTTCAGGATTTAGGGTTTAGGATTTAGGGTTTAGGATTCTAGGATTTAGGATTTAGGGTTTTCGGGTATACCAGATACATATAACGGGGTATGGAGATATTTTTGTACGCCGCTATGTTACCCCCCTTACCCCCAAACCCTCTCTTGATCAGCCTGGCCGGGTCCGTTTGCTCAAAGCCTTGATGCCCAGGAGCATCAGCCCTAAACTCCTAGGAGGTTGGTGAGAAATGGCCGGAGACCCGAGTATGGACCCAGACCCTAGCAGAAACAGAGCCCTAAGCTTTGAAACTCGAAACACAGCAACACTATGTGTGGCTTTTGAGGATAAACTGCTCAACTCTAAACCCTGCACCCTAAACTTCCCTCAACCCTGAAACCCACTGTGTCGTGTTAGACCGCAAGGCCAATGGCCACTTCGCCAACGCAAACAGCCTCGAGGCTACGGCAGAGGCAGGGCAGAGTGGTTCAGCTCAAGGGTCTTTGTCAAGGCTTTGGGGGTTTGGGGTCGGGCATGACGGCCCTCAACCCTAAACCCTAAATCCAAAACCTCTAAGCCTAAACCCGAATCTCGAGAAGTGTATCAAAAGCTCCAATTTCGATGTTTCGGCCTCAAGGCGTCCGTAAAAGCAGGCTTACAGGGTTGGAAAGGGCGTTCCTTCGACATGATCTCTCGATTTGGTTACGGTATGCTGGCCACTTGTTAAGGGGTTTAAGTTAAGTTATGATAGCAAAGAAAACTTTTTTAACTATAGATCCCTATTGTGGTAACTTAATTTACACTAAATCCCTTACCAAGAACCCAGTATGTATACCATCAAGTCTTTGTTCAACCATATTTAGAAACAGCTGTTGTTGCTTTCCCGTCTCTATTGTAAGGACTCAGGTGGAGGGGCATTCAAAAGCTTTGAAGGGTGTAAATTCTCAAGCCTCAAGCCCCTTTATATCAAGATCCGAGAAACCCCACAAATGCAGAGAATCCAATATCCTTGCTAAGAGCACCCACGGCACTTTCGAAAACATTTCCTTCCTAAGAGTTAAACCCTTCAGACAGTCTACAAACCCCAACAGCCCTTTCAAAAGCACCAAACTTAACTCAGGAAATTACAACCGGCAAAACACTCAGGATATTCCAGGCCTTCAATTTGAGGACCATTCCTCCATGAACTTTTCGGAGCTCAAAGCACCACACCGTACGAACGTACGAAGCTCATGAAAACCCTTATCAAGCCCTTTAAAACCCTATGTCTCTAAGCCCCCAACCCTAAGCCGACCCCCGGAAGCTCGGACGTAGGAGCAGGGCACCAGAGCTCTGGGCGCCGGCCCGGCAATGAAGGCACTGCTGGCGAGGACCAGAGCGAAGCAGACCCTAAAGCCTAAATCCGAAGGCTTAAACCTTGAAAACAATACACGACCCCCCCCCCCCACCAACACCCTAAGCACTAAGCCTTAAACCTTCTAGACAATGACCCCGCCAAAACCCCTATACCCTAAGAGGGGAATCAGGGAATAGGATAGGGTATCGTATAGGGGTCTAAATAATTACCTAAAATATTTTTGATTACAATAATACCATAATGGGCCCCAAAACCCAATTCTAATTATCAAGGCCCGTTGTATTATAGCATAAAGTCCCTAAGCCCTAAACCCTAAACCCTCAACCCTAAACCCTAAAACCCTCAAAAAACCCTAAAACCCTAAAATCCTAAACCCCAAACTCTAAACCCTAGTATAGAGTCTAGAGGCTCGGGCATTGTTTTGGACTTCGCCTTGTATCCCTCAGAGTCGGTCCGGGCTTTTCTGCTCTGGGCCTTTTTTCGTGGCTTTGCCGTGGGCCTTTTAGGGTTTTGTGGGTTTAGGGTGTAGGGCTTTAGGGTCTAGAATTTTTAGGGTTTTGTGGGTTTAGGGTTTTGTGGGTTTGGGGTTTAGGGTTTTGTGGGCATCTATCTGGTTTCAGTAGGGTTTTGGTGGGCTTGATGCAGTTTCGCAAGGTTTCTGTTGGGTTTTGTGTCGGGGTTGCAAGGGTCTTGAAGCCTCGAAGCCCTGCACCCAAGTCAACTTTAAAGCGCACCAGGACGTGGCTTGAGTCGGCTGTGGAGGTGTGGCTGACTTTGCCGAACCGGGTCTAAGGTCTCCCATAGGCCCCATAGTGGTTCCTTTCTGTGGCTTATATTTAGGATCTTATTAGGTAATCCCCAAAAGGAACTACTATGGGGCCTATGGGTAGACTGGAGTCTGGAGGGGTTCTTTATTAAGGCGCTTTCTTTCAGCCATCATGGTAAGGAAAGCATCGTATACTTCATGTACCCTGCTATGGTACGTTTTTTTGTTGGGCTTCTTCAGAAAACCCCAGTTGATGGTTCGGAGGTACGGCACATGTAGGATTCGCACTTTCGCACCTGCCTTGTCACTACCTTCGTAGAGTCAGTAACTATAATCCCCATCTAGTCCCAAAGGTTTACCTTTAGATCCCCATGATACTGGACAAGCGGTTACGGGTTTAGGGCTTAGGGTTTAGGGCCTTAGGGCTTAGGGTTTCCAGCTTAGCGTTTAGGGTGCAGCAGAGACTTGGACCGATCTGAGCCCCAGGCGCGAGATTTGGAGGCAGTCGAGGCGTGGCTCCATGCGCACGAGGAGCCGCAGCTGTCTGTTGCATTTTCTTTGCGTTTTTTTTGCAGAAGTCTTGTAGGCTTTGTTTGGTTATCTCATATTTTTGGAGTTCAGGGTTGAGGGAGGTTGAAGGCGTTGAAGGTTTGTTTGTTCAGGGATAGGCCTGGCTACAAAGAGGGCTTGGGGGTTTTGCATGATCCTTCCCGCCAGAACCGCAGCAAGAGTGGCGGGCGAAGCTTTCAGTCGAAATGCTGGCCGTCATCTAGGAGTATATCTACAAGACGACATGCAGTGTTGGACTCCTGAGCGTTGCGGAGTCTTGTGAGGGAGCCGATGCATTCTCTCATGCCTATACCGTCTCTGCAGAACCCACATGTACATAAAGGTAAAGGGGCCCCTAAACCCTAAACCCCCGAAAAACCCTAAATTAGGAGTGATGCTCAAGTCGGTAAAAGTGCTTTCAAGTCCGGCTGCCCGAGTCGAGATCAGGGAAGACCGATGTCAAGAGGGTGTCGCTTGCCGTCTCGAGGGACCAACTGCAACTCTTTGGTTTCTTAGGTTGTTTCTCTGCTCGAGCGGCGGCTGGCATGAGAGGAATCTTTACTTGCGTAACTTGGTGGTGGCTTGCCCTGTACTCTTTTAGACTTTCCACTTGCCAGGCCGTTTTCAGAGACGTTGCTAGGCTGATCCGAGAGGGAGCGTCACCAACTTCCTCGAGCCCTAAATCCGAAGCAGCCCTAAACCCTAAACCCTAAACAGGACAGGCAGCACGTTTCGGAGGCCTTCGTGGCCTATGCACGTGCCTACGAGCAGCTGCTGAAGCAGCGCCTCGGCTGGGCTCGGACTTCTGACTTTCCGGTCTTCATCTCACATCCTAGATCTTTCAAGCTCTTAAGCCCGCCTGGCTCGAGCTGTGATGTGGCGGTTGAGTTGATGGAGCTGGCTTCGGGTTCTCACATGTGGGAGGGCCCGGGGCCTGTGGGACTCTGGTGACTCCAGTTTAGGTAGGAATCAGCTTGCGGGTGTGTGCTGTGAAAGCCCCTTGCCAATTACTCGAAGATTCAGTGATTGGTAGGTTTCTTTTTTCTTACTATCTTCTAGGGAATATGGACTGTTCCGTGCTTGCTGAGTACTGGGCTGTTTATTATTCGGATAATCTTAACCGTAATTGTCGTCGTCGTCGTAGTAGTAGTAGTAGTAGTCGTCGTCGTAGTAGTAGTAGTAGTAAGAGTAAGAGTAAGAGTAAGAGTAAGAGTAAGAATAAGAGTAAGAGTAAGAGCAAGAGTAAGAGTAAGAGTAAGAGTAAGAGTAATAGTAAGAGTAAGAGTAATAGAAATAGAAATAGTAATAGTAATAGTAATCGTAATAGTAATCGTAATAGTAATAGTGGTAGTATTAGAAATAGTAATAGTAATAGTAATAGTAATAGTAATAGTAATAGTAATAGTAATAGTAATAGTAATAGTAATAGTAATAGTAATAGTAATAGTAATACTAATAGTAATACTAATACTAATAGTAATACTAATAGTAATACTAATAGTAATACTAATAGTAATAGCAACAGTAACAGTAACAGCAATAGTAATAGTATTAGCAATAGTAATAGTAATAGTAATA